GCAGTGGGGGGCAGCAAGGATTCCCCCCCCCGCCCCAGCAGGAGCAGTGAGCCTGGAGGTTTTTTCTTTTATTTTTTTTTCTTCTTAAAGAGCCAGAGCTGGCCCATGGGGGGGGGCTGGGGGCTCATGCAGCACGGAGCAGTGTGGGGCAGCAGGGATCACCCCCTGCCTGGCAACACCCAGTGAGCTGGGGCTTTTTTGTTTTTTCCAAGTGCCGGGAGCTGGGGCAGGTGGGGCAGCCACTGCTGGGCTGGGAGAGGGATGGGGAATTAGCCCGGCTGATCTGGAGATTTGGCCGAATCAAAAATCGGAACAGTGATTCAAATCACCGAATCGAATCACTGCCCCCCGAATCAGCTGAATCCGAATCTGAAGCGAACACTAGCCGCTTTGCACAGGCCTAATGAATATCTCCTTCTCTCATTAGTTCATGAAGATGATGTCCAAAGCAAGCCAATAATTAAATGTCCTCTTCTGTTGTGTTCAAGACTGCAGTTTGTCTTAATAGGAAGATCCCAACCCCCAATAATCCGTGCAGCACGAACTCCAGACAACTTGATCCTAGCACATTTTTTCCAGTCAGCTAATACATTTTTAATCAAGTGGCACTCATGGAAATAAAATTTAAAAGTCCCTCACATACCAAAAACTCTTCTACTATTCTGATGAAACAGTGCTCTTTCACTAACAACATCTGATGGGTGGTTTAAATACGAACTGACAGGTAGATGTTAGGAGGTAGGCCCTTTAAACTAAGACAGCAATAAACTCTTTCAAGTTTTCAGATTCATATTTGTTTCAACAAGTTACTTCAAGAACACGCAACAGTAACAAATACGGTGGGGAAAAAAGAACAGATTTTTCCTACCTTTTCTTCTTGTAACTTCAAAGCTTCTGGATTCCTAGAAGGAAAAAGAGATGTTGTTGTTGTTGCTGTTTTGAAGTACACGAGAATAATTGATAGGTAGCATGAACTTAATCCCCTAAAAAGTACTCTGTGTTATAGTGAAATGTTTATGATGATTTACATAGCTAATGAATTTATGATTTCAGTTTGTCTGTAAAGCACTTAATGTATGAGTTAACATTTATATTCCTTATCTGGTGAGAAGTTAGAGTGAAAAAGCACAAAACCTTTATTTAAATCAATATTGTATAATAAGATGGGATGTAAAAAGAAGCTTTAATACATTAAGTGTTTTCATTTTACTATAAAAACAGGCCCTTATCCTATGGAGACTTACAAACAAGCTTAATTCTCAAATGCTCGTATAGTCGCAAATGAATTAATGGGACTACTCATGTGCTTAGAATTAGTCCTAAGCTGTGTAGATCTCTGTAAAAAGCAGCACCCTACATGGCATTCCTACCACTACTAAATGCATCTTCAAAAAAAAAAAAAAATATTCAATGCAAGGGGAGCATGTGCAGAAGAGCTCAGGATTACATCTGGGGTATATCCGGAGTCAGATGAACACCTACAATGGAATGTGGCCCTCAGGCTGAGTCCCGTTCAACTCACGTCGCCCCATTAGCACAAAGCAGTATTTTATATGCGTCGGTACTTAAGGTAGCACTTGACCTAGGATGTCACATCCCAGATTGCGTCAGCAGAGAC